CCTCCTGGGAGGGAAAGCAAAACAGACCCCCCAGCACATGTCTTGTCTTTTCCTCCCAGGTCCTCACAGCTCCCTGATCACTGACATCAGGGGGCACCAATCTGGCTGAGCCCCAGGACATATGTGGGCGTGTTACCAACACTCATGTCTCTCCCAGACCCAGCGGCTCAGAGTGATGAACAGGAAACTGGGAATCACTTCCTCAACACGCCCTGCAGGTGAGGCTGACGCACAGCCAGGAATCTGGTCTCGCTCTTCTGCTAAAAGTATGATCAGCACCAATGTTATTATGAACAGACTCTCAGACTCTGTTCTAGACCTTGTGCGTCTGAAGTGGGCAAGTGTCCCTGGTCTCCCTGCCTTCTCCACGTGGTGTCAGAGTATACAGTTGGCTCTGGGAGGTGGTCTTAACACAAGGGGTTTTAGGGCTCAGTCCTGCTCCTTTATTTTCCTTAGTCATCACTCCCTGGGAGACCCATCATGTTCAAGACTTCAAATATCATGTACATCACATCACATCCCAGATCTGTTTCTCAGTGTGCATATGTCACCTGTGCTCCTGGCTTGTCTGCTGCAGACAGATGATGAGAAGTTCTCAGTTATTAACAAGACTCAGAGACTAAATGAATTTGCAGCAGGGAAAGGCTGGGGAGAGCCCTAGACAGCAACTCTGCCTTTCACTCTCCCAGAAAAGCTTTTATTAAAGATATGAACAAAAGGATAAGAAAATAGCACACAGAGGCCCCCTGGTGGAGCAAGGGGTTAAGTCTCAGCACTATGAAGCTACTGGCAGCCATTGAGGCCTGAATCAGATCCCCAGCCAGGGAGCTACCCACATGGTGCAGCAGACCTCTCCTGTCTCACCTGCTGCTCCCCTCAGCAGTGTATTTCAGTCAATCTGCCTGTTCTGCTCCCCGTTCTCTTTCTGATGACTCTTCTTCCCTCCCCCTGCTTCCGCACCTCTGGCCTACTCCCAGCTGTTGTATGCATAAATCAAATAAATCTTTTTTCAAAAAAGAAAATAGCACTCAATTGTGTTTATGCTTATACAAACGAATAAGTTACTGCTGGAACAAGCTTCCCTGGTTAGTGGGGATCATGCCCACAAGCCAGTACGTCGTCAGAGAATAGGAATCAATTCTGGGAAGTTCTATTTGCAGAACTTCTAACTTCCTGGAACTTCGTGTGCAGAGTGAACAGGTCCACTCAGAGACTCTGGTTCCCTTTAAGGCAGCAGGCTGCCAACATCTGTCCAACTGCCACCATCATGCAGTTCCAGCTTCAGCTGGAACTACCCTCAGCTTCAGCTCTCCTAATGAACACCTCAGATGCCATTTCCACAAATGTGCTACTTTGTGTCACTGCAGGCTCCACATCTCTACTTCACAGTGTGAGATGTTGGGTGGCATCCTGACCCCTTTTTCTCACAACCCAGATGTTACATTAGGAAATGCTGTAAACTCCATCTCTAAATATATCCAGATCCAAACACTTCCTATTATTTTCCTGATCATACGCCATAAAGCTACCAAATTTTACATCCTAGAATCTGTTCTAGTTTCCTACATTTATCACCTTCACCTCTTGATTCTGCACAGCAGCCAGGCTGAGGCTTCTAAAGAGAAGTTGCACCATGTCAACCTCTGTCCAGAAAGGTCTGTTGATAACACATCTTACTCAGAGATAAGATTGTGAATTCCAAATCAATCTTCAGTGACAAGCCTAAATATTTGGCAATTATTTCCTTTTATAGAAAAGCATAGGTTTTTCACTTCGAAACATAGAAAAAGTGCAGTGTATCAGTTTAGTCAAAAATCCAGCAGCCAAATATACTACTTGGCCATCAAGTTTCCCTTTCCAAATACATTTAAAGTCACATAATTTTGTGCTTATTACATAGTGTTTTTAAATAAAAACCATCAAAATCTTTAGCTAAATAATTCCACATCTGGATTGAATCATGGTAGTATGATATTTTTTAGAAATTCCAGTTTATTCATTGATCAGTAAAATGTAACATTTGACAATTTCCCCAGAGAATAAGCCTCCTGTGTGTAGGGTGATGACAGTGTCATCACACCCGCTAAGAAGTGGGTCATTTGCATAGTTACTACTAGATTCTATCAGACCTGCTGTCATGCTGAGGCTTCCCCATGAACAAAGTATGACAAGTGGTCAGTGCTGGGCCAGCACGGAAGACGGAGCTCACTCTTGACACCAGGCACCACCTGAATCCTGTATTTGTGCTTCCTTGTTATGACACTGAAACTTGGTGTTACTAAGCACAATGAGTTTTTTCTTAATGAATGTGGTGGGTTAAAGTAAATGGATATAACCTGGTCCCCTAATAATTTACTTTCTCTCCACCTTTTTAAAAATTATTGTTAAGACAATACAAGTTACAGATTCACTGGCTGGAAAAACAGTCACCTCTTAGGTCACCCCTGTACTTATTTATGAGGTTGGTTTCTCTTGGTCTCTCAGCATGACCATCCCTCAGCAGGGCCTTCAGTGCAGAGTATCCAAATGTTACCATTGCTATGTCTCCTGGTTGGATGTAGATTATTTTCCCTCATTAAAAATATTTAGTAATTGGGCAATAATCTGCTCAGCCTTTGTCACCTCTCCATGGAATAACTTTTCATTTTTCACCATTTCCTGCTGGCTACTGTGCTTTTCTTCTGTCACCTTCTTCACATAACTGTGGTCCTTTCCCTTTAAAAGAGGAAGAATTTTTGAATGAGCCTCCAATTCTATCCCACAATGTAAAATATTGTCCACAGTTGTAGTCAAAGAAGAGGTGTGTATGGTCAGCTGAGCCATTAATAACTGGCCTTAAGATCTAAAGATACGGGACCTCCCCGGTGGCGCAGCGGTGGGCACTGGGCTGCGAGGCTGCCAGCCTCTGCAGCACCGGTTTGATCCCCGGCTGCCGGTGAGGGTCCCACATGGCGCGCAGACCTCTGCTGTCTTGCCTGCTGCTCCCCTCAGCAGTGTACTTCGTCAGTCTACCTGTTCTGCTCCCTGCTCTGGCTCTGGTGAATTCGCTTACCCTCCTGCATGTCTGACTGTACCCAGTGCTTGTATAAATAAATCTTTCAAAAAAAAAAAAAAAAAAGATATGAAAATCACCATCATGAATGGAAATTGTCCAAATATTGACCAAGACGTACAAACCTAAACAAACAAGTTGTGTAATGGAAAGATAAAAGGGTAGAGATGGTAAAAAGAAAGTCATTCACAGGGTGAAAAGCATGACTTGCAGGTGGAGTAGGAATCTTCCCGAAGGATGAAGTTTATGGTTCGCTTATACACAAGTCTGGCGAAGGCCTCTGTGAATCCAGCAGATCAGTATGTTGGTGAAAAAGAGGAAGGACCATACACTAGTCATGAGTTGAATCCAGCCATTTGGAAACTCTCCTACGTTGTCATATAATTTGCTGTATCCTCTCAGCTCTAGCAGAAACAGTGAGATGGTCAGAATACTTAATCCATGGTAATGAGGTAACAGTAAACAATTTCTTGCAAGACTTGATTCTTTAAAAATTGTGGGGGTTGGGCCTCTCTGGTGGCCTAGGGGTTAAGTCTCAGCACAACCACTGAGAAGGCCCACTACAAATGCCTGTGTTGGATCACTGGCCAGGGAGCTATCCACATGGTGCAGCAGACCACTCCTGTCTTGCCAACTTCTCCCCTTAGCAGTGTATTTCTGTAGACTCACCTGCTCTACTCCCCACTCTGTCTCTGGTGAGTGCTTTTACACCTCTGGCCTTCACCCCATTTCCTCTATACAAAAATTTTAAAAAATCATTTAAAAAAATTGTGGATGTTTTATTAGTGAATTATAGACAAGTAATAACTCAGTGTTGCAAAGAAAAAATAAAGGTTAAAAGCACCAAGATTTATTACTATCAGGAGAATAACAGTCTGTCAGAAATTGTCACCTTCTGCCATGTGGCTGGATATATAAGTGGTGTAAAAAGTCATAATCTGCAGCATCAAGTACAAGATCCATCTCAGACCCAGCAAACAGCAGAGGCTGGGGACCCAGTGGTGGTGTAGATGCAACAAGACACAACGGGGGACTCAGTCAGTGGAGTCAGGCTTTGTCGTCAAATAAGTCTGAGAGGGTCAGTCCACCACCCAGTGCTGCCAGGCCAGGAAGCCTGGGCTGGTCTGCAGCCCTGGTCAGCAATAGGCGCAGCCTGGCGGGTCTTAAGGGTTAGTTTTAAAGTTTGGCTTAATCTGGCCCTTCGTCTGCTTTCTCTACATCCATATGTAAGTATTTCTCTTTCCTTTTGATTTATCCCTCTTCCATCCATGTTGCCGCAGGGGCATGAGTTATGTTTCTCTGATCACGAAATGCTATTTCATTATACAGGTACATACATCACCTGTATATGTACATATATATATACATGTAATCTTCATTTGTCACCTGTTTGGGGCATTTAGGTGGTTCCCATAGCTTGGCTACTGTAAACAGTGCTGCAATGGTGACGGGAGTGCAGGTCCATTCACAGGAGAGTATTTCTCCTCTGTGAGTAGACATTCAGTGTAGAATCCTGGGTCCAATGGCAGAACCACATTTACTCTTTTAAGAAACCTCAATACTGTCTCCATAAGGGCTGGCTCAGTCTATATTCCAAAAACAATGTAGGACTGCCCCATTTATTCCATATCCTTGCCAGCACTTGAGTTTCTGGTCTTCTGGATATGGGTCATTCTCGCAGGGATGAAGTGGTTTAAACCAGGGGATCATAAAGCCACAAAATATGGGGCAAAAAGAAATCCTGTAACACTCAGGCCAACACAAGGCTGTCTCACACTGTGAAAGAAAGAAAATAATCATGAAGAAATTCAGATGAATTACCTGAGTGTTAACATGATCAATAGTCCACTGCATTCTCAAGATGTCCTCCCGGAAGCTTCCCTATCACTTAATGCCAGCCTCTCTGCAAAAACCCACACTCCCACTGCAGGCCTCCAGGGTCTCACCTTTAGGGACTGAGATACACTTCAGAGCCCTGGTACTGCAGTTGCCTGTGGGAGAACACAACAAAACTTGCTCAGAGATGAGCCCACAGGAGGAACTGATGAGAGTGACTCCCCCATCTACACTGTCTCCAGGGGCTCAGGGATCCAACCCCTGACCCACACTTACTTGGAACCTGATGTAACTTCCTCCTTGTCCACCTGTGGGAAGAAACATCATGTGAGACCACAGAGGAGCGAGGTCAGAAGTCCTAAAGGAATCTTCTAATCCTGCAGAACAGGGAAGTTTCCAGAATGTGACTAAAAACCCAGGTCAGGACTGGGAAAAATGAAGAAAGGAGGTAAGGGGGGACCGGCCTAAATGCCCTCTGGGCAACACACGTGTGTGGATGGTACTTTCCATTAACCAGGTAAGGCAAGTTCTCCCTGAGACTTGAGAGTCCCCAGTAGACAAGATCCCCCACTCCCTTCCCTACCTGAGTACTTCTTCTAACACTTCAGAGCTGCAGCCATCACACATCCAATGAGCGCTCCTCCAAGGAGAACCAGGCCAAAAATGAGGTTCATTGAGATGGAGGAGGACTGAGTATGCGGCCCTGGAAGGGAAGAGAAGGTCAGACCCTGACCCTGAGACCTCAGACTGACCCTCTGAAGGTCTCCAGAAGAAAGCCAGATGGCCCTGAGAACAGCCTCAGTGCCCACATCCCTCTCCTTACTCCATCTCAGGACTCGGGGCTCCAGCAGGCCCTCATGCTGCACATGGCACGTGTATTTCTGCTCTTCTCCAGAAGGCACCACGACAGCCGCCCACTTCTGGAAGGTTCCATCCCCCGCGGGCCTGGTCTCCACCAGCTCTGTGTTGTGGGTCAGGTCCTTCCCATCTCGCTGCCAGGTCAGGGTGATGTCCGCAGGGTAGAAGTCCAGGGCCCAGCACCTCAGGGTGAACTTCTGGTCAGAGGTGGGATGACGGGTCACATGTGCCCACTGGGGGCCTGAGTGGGAAGAATGGGAAATTTCATGCTTTTTGTTTCCTCCATGGATACTGAAGCAGCCTCATGTGACCACCTTCCAATGGACAAAACAGTATATTTGGAGGGAGGAGCACACACCCCAGAAACCAGCCTGATCTGGGAGTCTGGGATAGTAGGAGAGAGCCCAGGGTGGGATGCAGGTCTCTAAGCATTTTGTTGCTGACTTGGGTGGAGGGTGATGACACAGACAGGCAGGAGTGAGATCTCTAAAAATGTTCTCTGACCAAAAAAACAAGATCTCAAGAGAGAAACTCATTGTTTCTAAGATGGCTGCTGGTCAAAAAAGATGCAGTGAAGAGTGATTTCACGGGTGGTCTCCCCTCTTTCTCAGGAAAAACTGGATTCCTTAACTGTCCTTCAGAAAAAGTGGGAGCCTCTGGGCCAGTCTCCATCCCGGAGCTTGAAAACGTGGCAGGCAGCTCCCTCTCTGGCCAGAAGGGGACGCTTTACTGACCATTATTCCATTTTCCTGTAGGGTGTGCGCCTCAGGGAGATCCAAGGCCTCTCACCTCTGAGCTGCAGCGCCTCCTTCCCCATCTCCAGGAGTCTGGGGAGCCACTCCACGCACTTGCCCTCCAGGCTGCTCCGGTCCTGCTCTGCCCGACCTTCCTCCTCCCATTCGCGCTGGGTGATCTGAGCCACCGAGTCCGCGGGGGTCCAGGAGCGCAGGTCCTCGCTCAGGGAGATGAAATCGGCGCCGTCGTAGGCGAACTGATCGTACCCGCGGAGGAGGCGCCCGTCGGGCCCCACGTCGCAGCCCAAAGTCCTCTGGATCGTGTGAGACCCTGAGCCCGCCCTTCAGTCACCCCGTGGTCTCCCGCCCGCACCCGATCCCCCGCCCTGAATAATCCCAAACTTAAATGAAACCTAAAGGGTGAAAGTCCCGCGGGCTCTTCCCTGGTAAGGAGCTTGGCAGGTGCCACAGGCTCAGGGGGTCACTGAGACTAGGGGCGGGGGGTGGGGGCGGGAGCGGTGACCCGCCCCGGCCCGCGCTGCTCACCGTCCCGGCTCTGGTTGTAGTAGCCGCGCAGGTCCTCCAGGAGCGCTTTGAGCCTCTGCGCCGAGAGTCTTTGGTTCCGCGTCTCCTCTTCCTGATCCTCCTGCCCCACCTGCTCCGCCCAGGGCGCCAGCACCTCCACCCTTTGATCCGGAGAGTCACTGTCGAACCGCCCGAACTGCGTGTCGTCCACGTAGCCCACCGCGAAGTACCAGGGCTCCCCGAGGCCGGGCCAGGACGTCGCGGTTTCTAAAAGCCTCAGAGAGTGGGAGCCTGGGGGCGGGGAGGGGTGAAAGCCGGGCTGACCCTCCTCCCTGGGCGGGTCCTGAATCCCAGGGAGATGGGGCAGGGGAGAAAGTGTCCAGGAGGGAGGGAGCTCCAGAGACTGAACATGGGCAGCGGGTCCAGAGGGGGCAAGACTCAGGGGGACAAAAGGAGGAGGCAGGTGGGGGGACAGAAAGGGACCAGGACTGAGGGGGCCACGGGGGTGACAGAGGGGCCTAAGGCAGCAGCTTCCTCTGCAGAAGCCTTTTCCCTTCACCCTGCACTCACCAGCCCAGGGGTCTGTGGGGGCCAGAGGCCCGGAGAGAAGCAGCAGGAGGAAGGTTGGGGGCCCCATGACCAGCACTGCTGAGGTCTGGGGAGCTTCTGACTCTAGGGTGTGGGTGGAGACTTAACTGGGCAGGCAGTGATGCTGATTGGTTCTCTGGGAAGCTCCAGGCACTGGGGACTGAGAACTGGGGAGGAGTCACAAGTATGCAGGGCCCAGGCACTGCTGGTTGGAGACAGAAGTGAAACCAAGGGGCCAGTGGGGTATAGCCAAGAGTAACTTTCCTGCCCTAGACACAGACTGAGGCCTGGAACTATGAGAACCACACTGGGGACCTAGGGCTTTGCTCTCCACCTTCCTCTCCTCACCCAAAGCTTGGCCACCCTGTCTCCATGATTCCAGGCCCAAGGACTGGGTCAGCGATTCTCAGTCATTGTCCTTTCCTGATCCGTGTCTGGTGTTACAAATTAGGGAGGACGCCAAGTATATAATCTTGTGTGAGGTATCTCTACCCATATTTACCACACTTGGAGTAAAGCTGTGTTTAATCATGTAACTATTTCAGTTAGAGTAATAGTAATAATCGAATGCATAATAATAGAAAGTGTTCTTAAGAAAAATAACTTATTTGTGAAAATAATCAGGGCAATGAAAAGCGTGGATCTTTTATGTTTTTTGTTTTTGCAGTTGTCTTTCTTGTCTGTCTCATTAGAAGACAGCAGGATTTTCATGTTTCCTTCTGCATTTAGTTTGTGGTTCTGGTTGAAGTCTATGAAAAAATGTATATAGACTCACACAAATGTGTTGAAGTACTATTTCCGCATCATTGCGAATATTCCACTTTGATACTAAATTAAATCTATACAGGTGGTATTTTATCAAAGGTTATTTGCAAAGTAAAACCTAAAACAATATCATTGAATATTTCTTATTCTGTTACATTTCCATAGTCCTTTCTTGCATATTGATGGGGTCTTGTGCTAATTTGTGATTTTTTTAAGTAACATATTGTTCCCCTAAGTTATAAAGACCTTCAGTGTTCAATACAGCAGAATCAAGTTATTAAAAAATTGATTTTATTTTTCACCACAAATCCCAAAAGTAAAAATAGTAATGGAAATTGTCAAGTTAGTGATAGGACACAATTTTCCATAATTCGGGTTTTGTCTGAGTAATTTCATTCTGTCAAGGAGAGGTTATTGTCAGTTATCAATTGTCATTTGAAGGTCAGTTTCTTAAAGGAGCACACATTCATTTTCAGGACAATGTCTGCCAATTAACTAAATCCAAATAGCCATAGTTTTTGTCATTCATCCCTTCATGTCAAGATATATTGCCTACAAAAAAAGGGAAAGAAGTCTAATTCATCTCATGCAAATATTTTCCTTGGCACATAGCATCTGGGAAGGCAGCAGAAGTGCTCTGTGTGTACTTGCGTGTCATCACATCAGGTACTGTAAAATTGGATTTGATGATGATAAAATAATGAAGCTAATTTTCAATGCTTCAACCAAGATGTTTTGAAATGAAACTGGCTTGGAGTTGTGTTTCTGAGGGAAGTAGTGGTGAAGAATAACTACTATTGCAGTTAGTAATATAACCTCCATTTTTGCTAAGTTTTACCTCAGCAAATGTCAAAATAGTGAAAAAGCCAAAGATGTCTGAGTCACATTTTGAAAACAGTTTTGACCTCATGGATCCTGTGACAGGTTCTGGGTGACTTCAAGGGCTCCACAGACCACACTTTGACAAATGCTTTTCTCAGTGAACCAGGGAGCATCTCCCAAGTGTTCTCTGCCTTTGTCTCCTCTTCACTTCCCAGCATCCCCCTCCCTAGATGGCTCCTGCCTCCCCAAGCTGCCTCCCCTGAAAACACAATGAAGAGCAGAGAGAGGGCCATGGAGATGTGGATTTTGCCCTCTCATGAGAGATGGACACTGAGCAAAGATGACAAAGACACGTGTAAACCTGACCTGAGCCCCGTGCTAGGAGGAGGGAGATTGTTTATTGTGAAAGCAGAGAAGTGTTATCAGGTCCCCTTCTATTATTTTAAATAATGTCAAAAGATGTAAAAAATACATTAAAAACGGGACCTCCCTGGTGGCATAAGGGTTAAGTCTCAGTACTATCACTGCTTAGGACTGAGTTTGATCCTCAGCCAGGGAGTAACCCACATGGCACAACAGACCTCTCCTGACTCACCAGCTGCGCCCCTCAGCAGTGAATTTCAGTAGATCTGCCAGTTCTTCTCCCCATCTGTCCCTGGTAAATCTTCTCACCATCCCCCACCTGTAGCCTATACTCCAGTTCTTTTATGCATAGTAAATAAATAAATCTTTAAAAAATACATTAAAAATAAATTAAACATAAAGGTAGAAGAGTTTATTTAATATATATAATCATAAATAAGAGCGAACTCTTGGAAATTATAAATTTGTTCATAGAAATGAATAATTCAGCAGATGAACTAGAATATTGAAGTCTCTCTCCCATTAAGTCATACAAATGGAAAAGAAATGACAAGCAGAGAGAAGACCTACAAGAAACTGAGTCTGTCGATCAAGAGTATTCCAATACTGATTGGAATACTTGATTGACGCAAGTCAATCAAGAAAATCCCTGAGCACTCACAGATAAAATGTGCACGCTGAGTGTCCTCCCCAGGTTCCTCCTACAGAGGATGAGCAGCCCCACACCATGACCTGCCTGGAACTTTCAGAAAGAGACTGGAGAAGGGCAGACCTTGGGGCCTCAAGAGACAACTCAGGCCTGGAGGCCAGAGGACCCTGGAGCCAGGCCTGCCCAGTCCTCAGGGGAATCCAGCCCAGACCCCATGTCAGGCCCAGGTGAGGGAGGCGCTGGGGGCACAGACATTCACTTCAGCTGTGCGTGGTCTCAGGGGTTACTTTCCATGTTCCTCCTCTAGTGGGCAAAGGGGGAAACGAAGATGATGGACACAGAGAACAGGACACAGGAGAGAGGCCCGGGATGAGGTGAGGGATCCGAGCCTTCAGCCCTGCCCAGGTGAGCAGGACCCAGGCCCGGGAAGCAGGACTGAGACTGTGGGACAGGGGTCTGCCCAGGATGAAGCGGGCAGAATAGCTGGCATGTGTGATATGTCCATGGAGAAGATTCTGACCCTGGGGTGGTCTTGGGGTGATTAGGAAGTGTAACAGGGTGGTCCCCAGGAAAGGGGGAGGTTCCCTGCCCCACCCAAGGAAGGGTGGAGCTGAGCAGGAAGAGAAGCTGCAGAAGAGACTGAGGAAGGAAGCAGGATGGAGCCAGGAGACCTGGAGGAGGCGCATGGAGCCTAGAGACACGTGAAGAAACTGCGCTTGTCTTTTGGTCGTGGACTGGGTGACACAGATGTGGGTGAGACCCGTGGGGAGGTGACAATGGCAGCTTTTATCTTGATCTGGATTTTGCTCTTTTCCTTCCGGGCTTGTCCGGTTGTTTGTGACCCTTTGCTGTGGGTCCCCACTGGAAGATACTTTAGACTTGTAGCAGGCTTTGGGGCCTTGTTCTGGGCTGATCCCATATGGATGGACTTTTACCCACGAGGGGACGGGTAACTTTGGGTGCTTCATTTAGAAACTAGATTCTTTGCCTTACCTGTATTGTTTCCTAGTTTTATTAAAGGTCCTTCCCATTAAAGTCTCCTATGTTTTGTGTTGATGCGGCGGATGGCAGAACCCATTTAGAATAGGCAGGTTTGCGGGGTTTGGGCTACCCCCTCCCTGTCCTATAACAGAAGGAGCACAACAGGAACTAAGCTCATGAGGGAACAAGATAATTATAACCCCAGAGAAAAAAAGTTTCCTGGTCTACTCACTGCTCAATTATGACTGGCTCTCATGAGGTCATAAAAATGCAAACCCTGGATCCTTGTGTGTATCTCAACAACCTGCCAGAGAGGTCTTAGGGTACAAATGCCTGTACTGTGGATTCTAAGGGGCCACCTCCCAGGACTCTTGAAACTCAGAGCCAGCTCTTAAGGCCTGGGCAATGTGGGCAGGGATGTTTCCAAGGTCCTGATTGAAAATTTCAATGTGAAGTAGAACAAAGAGCCTCAGGAAGGCTGTGGGGAAGATAGTGACTGGTGACCCCGAGGAGGAAGCTGCTGCAGGGGGCCTTGCTGCCCCAGCCAGATAGGATACTGACAAGCAGCTAAGAGAGGGGGCCTCACACCGTGGGGCTGAAGATCTGGCATCCTTTGCTTTTTGTTCTTGGTCATAGAGAGAGAAAAATTTATCAGAAAATATATTAGGCAATAAATTATATGTATCAGCATACTGTAAGTAAATAGCATGGAAAATTGTTTGTTTAGAAATCAGTTGTTGTGCAGTTTGACGCACTTGGCAATGGGAGGTGGTTTGTTGTGCATGCCTGACAAGCAATCCAGCACAACAGTTGTAGTGGGTCCTTCTTTTGAAGTTTCTTGGGAAAGTTTTTATTTATATTTATTTTTTAATAATAAATTTTATTTTTATATTCCCCATACAATTGCAACCCCCTTATTTTGACCCCAATCCCTCCCCTCCCACCCTCTACCCCCCATAGAGTGTCTCTGGTTCATAGTTTTTTGTTGATTTTGATTTTCACTTTCTTATAGTTATTCTTGGGAAAGTTTTTAAATGAAGCTATTTGAGTTAAGGAGTTTCTAGGTAGAAAAAGTTCTGATAGCTGAGTAGCAGCTGGTCCCCAGCTGAAGGCCATGAGAATAAGAGGAGTCTTTTCTTGCTTAGGCTTTGGCTGATCAGGATGTACTGGCAGCTATCTACTGTCTTAGGTTGTTGTTTAGCTGAAACAATGAGTTCTAGTGTAAGGCTTAGTTTTTTATTAACCTTGAAGGTTGCCTTCTTACTGAGAGCACATAGTGGCCAAAAACCCATAGAAAAAGAGATTCACTGATTGTCTCTGCTTTGTTTCTATGCACATGATAATGTCATCTCACTGCTTGCTAAAAATGTATAAATAAAGACCTGCTGAGTCTCTCGGCAGAAGATACTAGCACCTCCCAAGTGTCAGTGTCTCCTCATTCTACCTCATCCCCTTCCCCTCAGCCCTTAAGTTTCAGCCCCTTACAG